AAACGGCGGGACGACTTCCCAAGACAGAGAAACCTTGGGAAAATGTACGCATCAAAGCCCCCTTCCAAAAGGAAATCAGAGAGCGTATATGGCGTAGACCGGAGAAAGTCAGACCTCTGAATGAACTAAAGCTGTGTGGGCTCACCCATCTCAAAGGAAAGCAGGCAGGAGGTCATCTTCATACGCTGATGCAATGGTCAACTGGGACTCAACGAGAGCTGATGGAACAGGATCTGAAATCCAACATTCTTCCAATTCATCAAATCGTAAAGGTCAAGGCTGAGGATTATCATGGAGTGAGATTCTACTCTTACAAACTTCAACGCACCGATGGGAGTGAATTCACATTTGAGGAAAACGACTTCATCATGCTCAAACCAGACGACATCTATCAAATGTTTATGGCATACAGATACCTCCCAGTCAGAAAAAGCAGAACATACAGCGAAGGCCTCACAACAATCAAGAGGTTCATGCTCAGACAAGTCAGAGTTCACTCATCTCACGACCTACAGATGGCTATCGAGTGCAACATGACAAAGACAAATGTAACACAGCCAAGACTGTATGGTCCAGAGCTCGAGGACTTCCCTGCATACCACATCTTCTACACACCACCAACAGTCACATATCTCAATCACAAGAATGAAAAACGCCTGATGATGGTTAGCGAAGTTGAGAAATACTGTGATGAAACACTGAAGATCATCAGAGAACGGCTGCTGAAGATGAAGGAACAGCTGGATCAAAAAATTGAGGAGGCATCGTCATACATTTTTTTTTAACCCGGAAGGCAAACCACCAAAATCAGTGGGGTAAATGCCGGGGAACATTTACCAGGTTTTATTAGATAGAAAAGAAATACAACAGGGAAAGGGGGATTAGGCCAAAACCTTTCCCGGAGAGGCATTCCTTCCAAAAAATTGAGGAGGCATCGTCATACATTCTAAAGGAACATTCGACGCTGGAAATCATTCTAAAAGCCATTGACGATCGCCTGGACAAAAGAAACATGCTGAGACAATATGAGCATGCGCTAAACATGAGGAAGCACTACTTCAAAGCTCAGAAGCAATAACAATGTGGCACTTGATCACAAAGGGGGAGATTGTTGAAGATCATTGAATTGTGAATCAAGTTTGTCACCTATCTTGTAATAGATTAGCTTTATTATATCCTTTAATTCAATAATTGTATTTATTAGGATAAAGGATATGGGGCCAATGTGTCAGACCCATATCAGACTGAAAGCCTTTCCGCCAACCCTATACCTGCGATATAAAAAGGCGCTTCAGGTTTAGGGTTGCGTTAACTTTCGTACTCGTTCCAAATAGCCTTAGCGCAATATTCTTCTCTGTACGAGTTCACGATATATCAAGGAAGGTTATCATCGATCATCTTGTGTTCATCTTTATCGTTAATCTTCTACTTGTTATACTGTTAATCTTTGCTGTAATAGAAAACAGGGACTAACAGATACTAACTAAACTGACCCTCAGTCCCATGCCACTGAACTTTTGATGATCATGTCTTGTCTAGTTACCTCACTCCTAAATGTTTTCAATTTTTCTAGGACACAGACACATTTTAGAGTCAGTTGCTGGTCCATGTGACTTGCTAGAATTTCCATACTCATCTACTATAGATGTAGAGCAATGACTGGAAGGAAGTCATGACGTTGCAACATAGAAATCACCTACATGTTCGGTCCATCACTTTATAGTTCATCTGTGACACCCCCAAATTTCCCATCCTAAAATAATACTTGGAAATAGAGATGAACTTTTATTTAATAATTAAACCTTCAAAAGTTTGCAGCGGAAATTAATAAAAATTAAGGAAAAGGGGCATGTCACCGCCACATCCAACTTTTGAATGGTTGAATGCTAAGGCTATCTACCTAAATGTAATTTAACAAAAATCTAGATGTTCGAATCATAAGTAAGTATCAAAGTTTAATCTAGTGAACTACATAGCGATCTTCTTGTTTGCGCTCTCAAACATTCCAACATCAAAATCATCATGATCACCTCCTGTTAAATACGAGCACAAGAAAATAAAAAGAAAAAAAAAACATTAGCAATAATGCTAAGTAAGTTCCACCTAACCTTTTAAAATAATAATAAATAATATATATAAAATCCGTACAACCTTTTAACATAAAATATTCTTCAAAACACTTTATAAATCATAAGTAAATGATACTTATACAAAATCCCAATAACATAACCCGTAATACCATAATAATTCCAAGATATATGAAACACCAAAATTCTCCTCTAATGAATTTCTCCCAAAATCACTTTGTATCTAGCTTCCTAGTAATTTAGAAGGGCGGTGCTCAACACTTTGGTTGAGCCCGGTGGTCCGTTGTTATGTACGGTCACCCCGGGACTATCGCCGGTACCACAACTGCTCAATGGAAACGGAAACAACTACTTTAAGTGTGCACACCCCCTAAAGGCCGGTATTCCAAGCCCTCCGGGTTAGTAAGTCGATCCGGGTAGCCGGGATGTTTTCTACCAACTACCCCACCTCAAAAGCTGAGTGATTAGGAGCTGCTACTACCACTACTACTCAAAAGCCGGGATGTTTTCTACTGACCGTCAATTCACCTCAAACCAAAACCAAAAATTGAGTAGTAGTAGACCTAACCACCCTCCACATTTTAAGGGACATGGAAAACCAACACCACAAATTTCTCCCGTGATGCTCACCTTTTAAGAAAATATTTATTTTTCTCAATATCAATCAAAGTTTATACTTCAAAAATTCCCTTTGCACCAAATTCCCACAAAGATACCAAATTATGTACTATTACAAAATCTTCCAAAATCGCATACAACTCATATCAACAAAACAATATATCAACTAATATCTCAAATACAACCCTTTCATATAATAATATTCACTCAAATTCAACACACATAAATTCAATTCTCAAATATGCACACAAAAATAATTAAAGGAAATCACGAAGAAAAAGAACTAATTTCGGTTGACGTGAAACGTACATTAAGTCCTGATGCTCCTAATTCTCTTCTTCAATTCCGGTCTCTAAAGATTCACCTTTTTAATTACGATGATATAATTAGCCACTTATTCTATTTGTAATTATTTTACCCGATTTTCCCCGTTTATTCTATTATTCAGATTTATTATCATGATTAATTAATAATTCGAAGGTTGTCTATTAATCACTTTTTATTAAACAAATCACTTTAGTAATTCGGCCATAAATTAAAATATTCGAATTCTATAATCACAATATCCGAATATATTTAATTAAAGTATCACATTTTAATTTATTAATCACCATTAGAACTTCCAAATAATTAATTATATTACTAAAATATACGAATTATGAACATATTCAAATTACTTTAATTATAGCTTAATACAAATATGTCCGTACTTAATAACAATCTAGTATTATTTAAGCTCTTTAAACTAATTCGGAAATAAATACAATAATCCCTTATAAATTTTAATTTAGTCCAAACAATAAAGGTATTAAATAATTAACTAATCTCCGCTCATCACAATTTCTTTAATATTATTAACACCTATAGTATTTACCCAAAAATCCGAATATTATAACAATTATTTGAATTAACTTATCATCATTAACTTAATCTGCTTTTATTAATTATTCAAACACTTGATATTTCCGAGTCCGTAATTATGTTAATTTTATTGATCTACTTCAATTAAAATAATATTTATCCAAATTTATTTAATCTAATTCTGGTACTAAGTCCAAAATAATTACTATTGTAATATAATATTCGTTTATTAATTAAACCATCAATCCATTTCATCATTAATATTTCTCATCTCTAATAAATCCATTTTTCAGATTATTAATATTATTATCAATATCACTATTATTATTATTATTATTATTATTATTATTATTATTATTATTGTTATTATTATTATTGTTATTATTATTATTATTATTATTATTATTATTATAGATTTTCGGTCAGCCAGTATTTTATAGGTCTCCACAATTTTCGTAGTATTATTTTTATTCTTAGTAATATCCTTCTTTATCACTTCCTGATTGCATAAGTTACGGAGCTACTAATTTAGTTTCCTTATTATATAAAGTTTACGTAATAGGTGTATCAGTATAACTATATTATCACGTATATTATAAGTTTGTATATTATAAATTTGTATATTTTATGTATTTTATACACAAGTTAAAATAACTTTTATTACTTATGCCATAAGTATATCCGGTAGTAGATATAAAATGTTACTTTTATTATCGGATCATTTTTATCAGATTAAACATGTCACAAATGATAAATTTGTGTCTGGTTTACTTATTTATAAAATGTTGTTTCTATTAAAATGTTTTTATCTGACTAAAATGTCGTAAATTTTGAAATTTTATCTGATTAAAATGTCACGACTGTTGAATTTTTGTTTGACTCACTTTTAAAATGTCATTTCCGTAACATTTTATCTGACTAATAAAAATTATTATTTTTTTTATTTAATTTTTTTTTGGAGTGTCACATCATCTATATAGCGATGATAATGGGCGTCTACATGACCCCGAGGACTACATCATCCATGATGTTCCTAGTCATGCCATAATTGTGAGAATAATTAATTCTATTAATAATGACTAGAGTAACATCTATTATGGATGATTCACGATGATTGGTTGGAAGTCCTGTTAGAGATTTAACGCTTCTATCATCATAGACATGCCACACATCAGTGTTTACATTGATGTGGTGATAACGGAACACCTCAGTGTCTCCGACCTTGTTTTGGTTTTCATTTCTTTTTGGTACGTCTTTCTCTTTTCTTTTCTCTTTTTGGTACTCTTCTTTTTTATTTTTTCATTCTTTTGAGTACTTCTCTTTTAATGAGTTTTTTAATGAGTTAAATGCAGAAAGAATTACAAAATATTGTTACAATTCAAGTGCTCAAAGTCAAATACAGATGCATCATCAAACTCGAATGTAGAGGGACTTAACAATGTCAAATTACCCATTCACACCGCAAACATACTTAATTACAATACTTTATTAGTATGCATATTATATATACACTGATTTTAAGGAGTTATCATATGTACATTAGTTAAATTGTTTGGAAATTATTGAGAATATTGCACTCAATGAGGATACATCAAGAGCATTTTGAATATAAGACGCACGATACAACTGAAAAAGTGCTTTAATTGAGAAAGAAATCTAGAAATATGATCCTCAGGTGCCACCATAGAAATTGCCATTCATTCTCCATTGGGGATCCTCATAAATGCTCGAGGCTTTCTATTCGGAAAAACCATTTCGGAATTTGGGTTTTTTACAATATATTCCACAATGCTAGTACAAATAAAGAATCATTATAACAGTCAATAGATACTATTTAGCATTACATATGCAATTTTTAGTCAGACATAAAACACCAACGTCTATAAAAAACACATTTGGTGTAATAAATTTAATTTTCATATAAATAATCTTCACATTATATCAAGGAATACTTATCAGTATTATATACTCCATATGATGAGAAGATTCAAATGTAGAATATACGCTGAGAAAATTTTGATAGATTTCAAACAAAACCCTTAACAAGCTACCATTAATCGTGGTGCTAAACAAGCTGCCAAACTACAACTGGACTTGGATATAGTGTTTTATTGTTTTATAATTTTTCGATGTGGGACAAAATACTTTAACAAATTTCTTTTTGAAAGAGGAAGCACTTGAGTTATAAGTAATAATTCTTAACATATTTTTCTAGCTAATTTGAATGTGAAGATCTGAGGTTCCATCCTAAAAGATCAACCTGATAGGAGGAGTCGCCCATGTCTTAATATAGCACTTCGTTGACTCAAACATTTCTGGTGTGGGATTTAACACCCCTCCTCACGACCAGACTCTTTGTACGGAACATGCCGTCATTCATTTTTTTTCGTCAATTCGTCATTGTCATTTTTTTATAATCGTGTCAATCATTTTTCATAAGGGACACACACCATGGATCGATTTGACTCTGATACCATGTTAAGACTTGGGGTTCCATCCTAAAAGGTCAACGTGATAGAAGGAGTCACCCATGTCTTAATATAGCACTTCGTTGACTCAAACATTTCCGGTGTGGGATTTAACAATGAAAAGTAAAATTTGAAAGACATGTCCATTTTTGCATGTCCCGTATATGTGTCTATGCAACATATTCAAATATACTGTCAATTAATTTGTTATCATCAATATATATATCTTTGGTTTTTGTACTTAAGGTTGGGCCGCCATAGGGGTAACATCTATGCACATTCAGCCTCACACTACTCCTAAGTGGGGATAAGGCTCAAATTGGACACTGTGATTTCATGAGAATCTCATATTGGATACTAAAATTTTAAATAGACCAAATTGGACACTATGATTACTTATGTATCTCATATTGGACACTGAAATTTCATAATTCATAGTTTTTGGACACTCACTTATGATTCTCTTCTTCCTTTAATAAAAATCGTTAGTCTTACATTTCCTTTCCTTTTTGGTGAAAGTAAACCAATTTAATAACGTATATAATTTTGGAATATTTAACTTGACGTTTTAGAATATATAATTTGATTTTAAGTAATAACTTCTTATATTTAACAATTTAAAAATATATTTAGGACTTTTCATTCATATGATTTTTGTGGAACTTTAAGAAATATCAATTTGTTAAATAGATTTAAAAATATAAAAAGAATTCAATTACATTATAATAGATTTTCTTAATTGGAGCATCTAATTATATTCTAAACCTAAATACACAAATTAAGTTATTTTTATTTTTAGGTACATAAAACTAAGAGAAAAGGAATACTTATATCTTTAATTTCAAGGTGAAAATCTTTGATGGGTGTCAAAAAATGATTAGAAAAATGTAAAATTTGATAAATTTGAAACTTTAGTGTCTGATATGAGACACACAAGTAACCATAGTGTCCAATTTGGTCCATTTGAAATCTTAGTGTCCAATATGAGATTCTCATACAACCATAATATCCAATAGGAGATTCTCATACAACCATAGTGTCCAATTTGACCTGTATCCCCTCCTAAGTGAGATATTACGAATTTCTTTTGGTTACGTTTTTATATACTAATTTTTCTTAGATTTATTTCTGAGCATGAGTAAATGGGAAACATATCATATAACACAACTAAATAAAAGTATGATATGATATTTACCTTTTCAAATAACGTATGTAGTCATGATCAATCTGGAGAGGTGGAGAATAATAATACACCTTAGCAAAGTCTTCATCAGATAAACCTAGTAGTTGTTTAGGTCCTTCTATTGCGGTTTCATCCCTAAAAAAAGTAAGGAAACATATATACCGACGAAATTAAGCATTCAGCCGAGCAAGGGGAGGGTGAGAGTAAGTTGTTTTGACGAAACACTAAGGCTGTGAGGCTATATGTTTGGGGCATCAGGTGAAATGGGAGGGTGAGAGTAAGTTATTTGAGGAGAAAGCGAGGAAAAGATGGGAAACTCTTCTTATTATTTGAGAGTAGTAAATTCGAAATAAGTGAATTTTAGAAGAAATAATAAGTACATTTAGCTTAATCGATGTTCATTTTAAATTTAGCTTAAATTATCATTTAATTAATCAGTTATCATTAAAAATCTTTCATTTCGGAAGAATTTAAAAATTGAGCATTTGAAAGATTTAAAAATTTCATTTCAAAAATATTTCAAACTCATTCCTCCACATTTTTAACTCTCAAAAACAAATATGAGGATTATCAGCCCCTTACATGTATTCCATTCCCTTCCAAAAACGAACTCCAAAACACACCCTCGGAGAAACACACAAATATGACTATTTTTTAATTTTCCGAAAGTAATGATAAAATACGATATTTATACCCTTTAAATATGTTCAAGCCTCAGAGTTCAAACTTGAGTACGAGCTTGACAATTTAAATAAATCGAGTTTGAACTCGAGCTGAGCTTGGCTCGAGCTCAACTCAAACTCAGTTTGAGCTCAAGTCGACTTTACTAATTAATCTTTATAGGTTTAAATTTGATTAAGATGCTCGAACTTGAGTTTGAATTCAAGCTAAAAATAATATTTATATTTTCCCAATTTTTAAAATTATATTCATATACTCCCTCTGGTCCTAAATAAACTTCACACAAATTAAGAAAATAAATTTGACTTTACTGTAGAGTACACTGTTATGACACTGTTTGACACTGTTTTGCACTGTTTTGATGTAGATAATTTGCCAAATAAGGAAGGGAGAAGAAGTGTGAAGTTTATTTTGGACCTACCCAAAAAGGAAAGTGTGAAGTTTATATAGGATCGAAGAGAGTTAAATAAATAATATCTAATATTTGTACTCAATCATTCTCATTATTTAGTTTCTCTCTTTCACTCACATTTTTACTCCTCATTTTACTATCAATTAAATTTTAAATAAATACGAAGTAATAAAAATCAATAAATAAATTAATATAGATATACAAAAAAATTATCATATTTATTTATTTATATGTTTTTATTTATTTATTTATTTATTAACTTTTTTACTCATTTATTTACTTTTTTATTTATTTTATTTTATTTAATTATTTATTATTAATTAATTTAATTATTAATTGGTTTATTTAATTATTCAATTATTTAGTTATTTAATTATTTATTTATTCATTTATTTATTTATTAATTTATTTATTTACTTATTTATTTAATTATTTATTTACTTATTTATTTATTTATTTATTTATTTATTTTATTATTTATTATTTATTTATTTATTTATTTATTTATTTATCTATTTATATATATAAAGAGATAAATAAAAAGACCTCTTCCCGTGCAAAGTGCGAATATATGCACTTTTGCATGTTTCGCTTGCACTTTTGCGTGTTTCTGTTGTACTTTTTCACGGTAACGAAAAAGTTCAACATATTTACGAAATTGCCACCGCGATTTTGGTCGAATTTTATGCATTTTGGCTCATTTTAAGTCATTATATGTGGAAATGAATGCACAAGATTCATTCTCACTTTGCATGGGAAGAGGTCTTTGTATTTGAACCATCCCCCATATATACACACATATATTCATTTATTTATTTATTCATTCATTTATTTATTCATTTATTTATTGATCTATTTATTTATCTATTTATCTATCTTTTTATTTATTTATTTATTTATTTATTTATTTATTGACTTATTTATTTATTTATTTATTTATTTATTTATTTATTTATTTATTTAGTTATTTAGATCTTTTTATATACTTATTTATTTACTTATTTATTTACTTATTTATTTATTAAATTATTTATTTATTTATTTATTTATTTATTTATTTATTTATTTATTTATTTATTTATTTATTTATTTATTTATTTACTGATTTATTTATTTATTGATTTATTTATTTATTTATTATTGCTCACAAGCTCAGAGCTCAAAGGAATCGAGCTTGGCTCTTTTATTTAATGACCAAATTTCATATGAGATTTTTTAGGACGAATAGAAAAGGAAATTAAATATGAGATAATCTTAGCAAGAAGAATGAAAAGTACTATGTGGTAGTGATATTTAGTAAAGAAATAATACCAAGAGATAGGAGCAATGATGTATCTGTCAGAGTCAGTATCATAGGTGTATAACAACCTATTCTTCCAATTGGAATCAATGACACAAAGACTTCGACGAGCTTCTCTAAGAATTATAGCTGGGCCTTTTGTAGTTTCATGAAAGCGTGCTGGAAGTATTGATCCGGTGTCAGTTTTCACCTAACAAAATAAACATCCAATAAGATAAACCGTACTTCCTCCATTCTTTTATTGCCACAGTTCTGACTTTTACATTTATTAATACATGATTTTGGTTACTAATACTTTTTATTAACTATTAGTTAAAATAATGAAATGTTCATATTTTCATTTTGCAAAGAAGATATTATTACTGCATTTTCATAATATAATATTTTACTACAATAATAAATTAAAGGGAGATTTGCATTTTTACTTCGATAACTTGCCGGTGTGACTGTTATTAGTCTTTGTAATTTAAAGATTTTCCGGCAAAAAATAACTTAATAAGATGCTGATAACGACAACTTTTCCGATTTACTTTTTATGGGGAAGTATACTTTTCGGGGGAAATTCCTTAATTTGCAAATATTTACACCCTCAGCCCGCCAACATTGTCCCATTTATTTAAAATCTCACTAAGATTGTATTATGCCAAATTTGGTAAAGTTTGTGTGACTCTAAATAATTCTTACTTTATTCTTACTTTATCAATTCAATGTCAACTACATAAATTTACTTTTTTTAATAACTATGTCGCCTTTTAATGTCTCAATGTTAGTGAGACGACGGTAATGTTAGTTAGAAGCTAAAGGATCAAGTTTAAAAATGACTACAATTACAACATTAAAATGGAAAATTTCTTTAAATAAAATGTTCTTAAGTGAAGTATATGAATAGTGTAAAAGTCATCAAATGCCCAAATGTCACATTTATCTATCTTGTCTTCAGTTGTCTTGATGGATTTGGGTTTAATATATGAGTTACTATATGAGATTCCAAAAAAAGTTACTATATGAGTATATTTGTTTTATTTTACTTTCCTGAAGTGATTTATTTTAAAAAAAAATGGAATATGTGAAATAGAAAAAGCTGATACTGTTTGAAAACAAGGAATTTGGAAATGTAAACTTTTTTTAATAGAAAAATTAAAACAATTGTCAAACACCCCTCTACTAGCTCCCAACTTATTCATTTATATCGCTCAATTAAAGTAGCAATACATGTTTGAAGATATTACTTTTAACTCTTTTAAAACTAAAAGTAGAGAATCACTTTTTAAGCAATATAAAACACTACTTATATCAAATTGATAGTCCCTCCATCCCTTAGAGAACTTCATGTATTCCTTTTTTTTGACGTTTCAATTCTACATAAACTTCTCTTTTCTTATTTGGTAAATAAGTTTTAATCAATTTACTCTACTATCCTAAAGTAATTAATAATGATTGTATATTTCAAACAATGTTAATATAATGTACTAAACACTACTCCATAGTACTATATTATTTATCAAGTCAATGGCATTTCATGGAGAGAAAAACGTATATGTAGATTTTCTTATGGTGAGTACTATTCAAATTAAGATTTTCTATTAGAAATGGAGAAAGTATATATAGCTTACGTACAATGAAACCTTCGAAGATTCTATATGCATTTTTCTCTCTATCATATTGGGTATTGTGATCAAGAACATGTAGAGTTTGAATGTTGAATTTTGCAGGGCTCTTGAATAGGACTTCAATTATTTTGGAACACAGGGTAAGAGAAACTCCTTGCCGCCACCTTTTATGCTACACATATTCATACCCATATTAAACACCTCGGGCGGGCATTATGACATCTTCTTGTGATTATTTAGAGAAAAAATAATTAAAAAAAATATTATTCATTATTTCATTCGTTAGTAGGGTATCAAATAATTCAAATGCATCAATATATATATAATTTCAATAGTTGATGCATCTTTTATGCAAAGATTTGCAAGTGATAAATTTAAAAATAATAAACATACAAATAATAATATACTTCCTCCGTTCTTAAATAAGTGCAACAGTCAACATTTCACACTTGACGAGGCATAACTTTGACCGTTAATATATATAATTCTCTATTAGTAAAAAATTTTAAAAAATAAGTTTTTGAAAATTTACTATGAGACAAACTAAATAATATTTTTTTCAAAAAAAATATATGTTAATACATCAATAAATAAAATGTAGTCAAAGTAAAACATGTGAATAGTGTAAAATCTAACATGTTGCACGTATTTAAGAACGGAGTTAGTATATAATAGACAAAATTTTCAATTAGGACATGCATAAGTGTAAACAACTCTGGTCGGATCCTGACCTCATACGAAATGTCTTTGTAACCACCGATTAAGTGCACCTGCATATGAATCATGTTCTTACCGTGTTAGCTACGTTAATTAGAAACTTTTAATCGAGAAAGCTAAATTGTTTCCTAGCTTAATCAGGATGTTAAAAGCAAATAGTGATTTACGTAGTATTATTTTATATCAATCCAATAGACATAAATGCATCAACATGTCCCAGAGTCCCAACCGGATTGATTATATTAGGACGTATAAATTAGCCAAACAAATCCTTAACAGCTACTCTTGATCGGTAGTGCTAAATTAAAATTAGAGATTTCATTCTAAGATATCAATAGAGGAGCCTGACAGATTTGCAATTTTAGTCCTGTAACTTTCGGCTGTTATCGTTTTTGGTCTTGTAACTTTAAGCACTAGCAAATTTGATCCTGTAACTAATAAATCTTTGTAATTTAAGGACTTTCCCACCGGAAAGTACACTTTCCGGCGGAAAAGTTCGACGCCAGTGACATCTTTTCCGTAATGCTATTGCCGGAAAGTGTACTTTTCAGGAGAAAAGTCCTTAAATCGCAAATATTAATTAGTTAGAGAACCAAATTTGCAAGTGACTAAAGTTACGGGACTAATAATGATAACGGTCGAAAGTTACGGGATGAATATTGTAAATTTCCCTCGTTTAAAAATTGATTTTCCATCGTTTCGGCACATTGTCTAAAAAATTGAAATTGCCTTTTTCCGATTTATTTAATAACAATAAAAATATATGGAGCACACGTTTAATTAGTAAAAGAGAAATGTAAAAAAATTAGATTGATGAAACATGAATGTATAAATTTATTAAGGAATGAAGGAATGTGTAAATATAGTTGTATGCAATAAACAAATTAACGATCAAAGAATAATACATCATAACTAGCATTGGAGTCCTGATCAGAAATGGAAGACAACATTTGCCCTAGGCCAGCTTCAACAATATTGGGAATATCTATATGTGCAACAGATATCCTGCAAACCATGTAAAAGATTTAGCTAGTGTATTTATAATTTTATATATTGGTGGAACTAATAAAGTTTTGCTTTGTTTTTCAAATTTACCGAACCATGTGAAGATAGAATACTAATATGATTTAATATTTGCCTTAATATTGTCTAGATAAACTGAAACAAAAAATTTGTGAAGTGTAGTTTATGTCCACAAAATGTAGGCCATGAAAACATATTCTTGATGAAGTGTATATAGTTTATGTCCACAAATTTCAGTACAAAACTTAATCAAGAAGTTTATTAAATAAGTTATTGAAAAACGCACTGCGTCAAGGTATATATAAATTTCACTTTATCTGCACATTTTTTTAATAATTTATGTAGCTAACTTTTCAATTGAAATTTTAGATGAAATATTATTGATATAATCTACATTTCATGAAAAATATGCTCATAAAGTTTCATAAAAAAATTGCACTCGAAACAACTGAAATTGTCTTTAGTGCACATTGAGTTCTGGTCAGGCGGAATGATAGAATAATATAAGTTCTCGTATAAATAAATAAATAAATAAATAAATAAATAAATAAATAAATAAATAAATAAATAAATAAATAAATATGATTTAGATCTTACTTTCTATTTTTAGGATTTCGAATGATAAGTCCTACGCATGTTGAAAGCCCATCAGTGCCAACCGCCTTTGATATGAAAATTAATAAGAGAATGTTTTGTCAACAACAAAATTTCAAAGCAAATTAAACGAATGATGCTTTATGAATAAAGAAATGCAAAACTTACATCAACTAATGAGGGGTTCACAGTTGCATATTCTTTTTGCATAATATATACCAATTTTGTTTTTTGAATATCACAAAACGAGTGTTCCACTTCTCGGATGCCATTGAATTCACGTGATCTAGATTTCAAGCGACGGTCCATCATTAAGTGCATCAAGATTTGTGTTCCCTACAAAATAATCAGAGTAACTCGAAGGTAGGAAAAGTCTGTATACGTTATAATTAAATTAAAGAATTTCAAAATAAGATCATCATAGTTGTATCAGTTAAATAAGAGTAATTACTGTCATGATTTAACATCAGACTTTTTCCCTGAATATTACTAAACTGAAGCCAATTTTCAAAAAATGACAAGTTTTAAAAAAGGACAAAAGTGACTAAGGTCATATATTTGAAAAAACATGTCAGTGCCAAATTTTATATAACTATCATATTTTTATGTCACTTTTGAATGTCATTATATCAGTAGAACATGTCACTATGACAATATTTGTTCAATAAAACCACTGCATCCACGGCGACACCGCCACAGTGATACACAGACTCCGACTTCAGTGTCCTCGATTGGTCATGTGACATCTGCCCCGCCTCTTCCACTTACCTCTGTTGCCTTGCATCTGGCCTCAATAACCGCTGCATGTACCTGTCCTGTGCCCCTGCCCCATCCCCACCAGCCCCAACAGTGAACCCACCAGGCCCTACCCAGCCCACCAGCCCCCTTCACAATTGTGGCCTCCGTCCCACCCCTGCCACTACCCCACCCACGTCAATTACCCACTACCTAGCGGCAATTTATACTGTACAATCGGTTGTACCTAGAGCATGGCATAACCGGGTTTTTTGTAATTAGATTCAACTTTTAGGGTAACAGTTAGGTTAATCTTTGCTAGAGCATTTCTTTTTCCGCCGCCACTCTTACGGTTGTTGGCTTTACTCCTTTTTGCTTTGTTTTCTCTTTCCTTTTTTCGTTGCTTTTCACTTTCTTTGTTTTTCAGTTTTTGGTTGCGTTTCGTTTTTCAATGCTTCAGTTTTTCTCTTTCCTAGTTCTTTCTATTCTTTATTTTTTTCTTTTACGTGCTTTAATTTTTTATTCAATTATAATGCAAATGTATTATATAAAATATCGTTAATGTTTGAGTTTGTTTTTTCTTCTTTTTTTGATCAACCTTCTAACTTAATTTTTTTTAATTTGTGCATTATAAAATATATTAGTTATTAGTATTTTTTTTCTATTTTAAATTTTAAGATGAATATTTTTAGTTTATTGAATAACATGTCTTAATTACTAACATGGGTTTTGTGTTATACTAAAATGAGTATAGTGTAAAATAAATGTGCATGAGTAAATATTATAAAAACAATAATATTATATTTGTAATTCAAGAAAAAAAAGACTCTAATTTTTTTTTCATAAAACATTTTTATATTTCTCACTGTTATATAAAATGATAGTTTAATCTACTAGATGTCATATCATAGAAAGAAGCTTATGGTATATTTGAATGAATGTAACAATTAAAAGAAATGAGCATACACAAATGAGTATTTAAACACATTAGGGAATTCAAATGCGTTTTTGGATTTTTGGATACTCATTTTGTAAGTTATTTATGCTTATCTTGTATTGCTTTTATGCTCATTTTAAAATGTTATATCAATGCATAATTTAAAACTTTCATATTACATTAGTTTCTCATGATAGTTGATTATAGACACGAAAGTAGAGATCATGATACTCAATTGCATGCTTCTAATACTCAATATAGTAACTTTGATGCTAAAATCTATTGATGTTAAACTAGCAAAGCTTATTAATTTCATATACATGCTCATTTTGTAATGCTCATTTTGTAAGATACATATGTGCATTTGGTACTGGTGTTATGCTCATTTTAAAATGTTATATCAATGCTTTTTTCAAACTTATCATATTACATTAGATTCACATATTGGAATTTTTAGGAGATAATTATAGATATAATTTGGATTTATATAATAGAAAAAATAAGAAAAACAAGTGAATTAGACGTTATAAAAGCAAAGATCACGATGCTCAATGTTAGCTTCATAATACTCACCATAATAAGTCTCATGCAAATACTAATTCTCATTTCTTATAAACATTATACTCTTTAACGTATAGCACAAAACTCATTTTTACAATCCACAAATCTAATATATTCATCAAAAGCCAAGTTAATATAATTACTTTCATTTGCTAAATAGATTTAGCCATGAGAAATGTAACAATCTTATTAAATCCTTGTTCTAGAATTACAAACTTTGTTATGCTTATTTTATAATATAATGTTACACTAACGCACATTTATTTTACTCATTAACTCATTTTGGTGTAACAAAAAACGCATTCCAATATTGCACATGTAATAATTAAACACATTACACTTTAAATTAATAAAATTAGCTATGAGTACTATTTTTAATAGAAAAATGGAATCAGTGGAAAAGTATATCTCAACAGTTTTACAAGTTCTTTAAACATCAAATTCAATGCATAACAAAAACCATATAAAATTTGCTAAAGTTGTAAGCATAGATTAAAGTTAGAAAAGTTTAATCATCATAACTAAATATTATGAAAAAAGTACACATATATTAATATTTTATACAAGTTCAACAATATATCAATAAAATAATCGATCTGTCAAAAAATATATTAACGTTCTCTTTGAATTTTTTCAAAGAACAAGTCTTGCATGTTTACATTAGTCACTAAAAAAACATCTCATATTTACCTCAGGTAAATCACAAGTACCGGTAGGAAAGGATATTTTGTTGATGATCGAGATGTGCATCTATACAATGAGTCAGTTTAGAAAAATCGAAGTATTACTAATGAAACAGGTAGATGGATTTTTAAAACAAATTGTATCTCATATTAAATTTTTGAAATTCACAGGATACAATTTTAGATACTCAATGTAGTTTAAAAATTATAAATATAAAAAGAAAAAAGAAATAAAGAAGGAGGTTTGGGTGGAAGCAAGATGCAGGACACGGTCAATTAAGGGGAAAGAGGATAAGACCAAAGGATTAAAGGGCTGAAAATTGATGGGAATTACAAGTTTAACCGGCCGGCTGTACGGTGCTCACCGTCGCGTACAGCCGGTTGTAAGATATACATACTCTATCTCTTGCAATCGGCCAACCACTTCCCCACCACCGCCCTACCTTATCGGATCAGACCATATCCAAAAATAAAAGATTTCAGATATGGAAATATAGCCGTCTAGTTGAACGGCGGCGACACGACACAACACTCCTTGAGCTCCAAGTGGTCTTTGTTTTTGGCTTGGGAGGGCATTGAATGGGTTGCGGGCGAGAAGAGCGGAGAAGAGGAAGAGACGAGTTTCAGCATCGGCGCAGATCTGTCACTTTCGCCGAGGTAGGGGTCATCGTCGTCACATGATTGCACCATCTTCTCTGTAGCTGCGCCTCACAGCCGCGATCCATGCCGAAGGTGTGAGAGGTACCGTCTCTGAAGACCCAGCGGTCACTGTGGTTTTGTCGTTTCTGCCGCTGACGACCTGATGCGAGGAGCTAGTTGATAGCCGCCGGGGATGAGATGATGTGAGGAAGTGGTCAGGCGATGAGGAGAGAAGGAAGGTCGGTCATTTCTTTTCTAGAAGGTTATAAGAAAGGGCAGTGCCGATCTTACCAAAACTTGAGCCTGAGTCGAACTTCATAAAAGGCCCTATGCATTATATTTTCTTACTATAATTTTCTTTGAAATTGAAGATTAAACATTATAAAAACATGATTCATTGAGTCAATGCAAGTGTAAAAATTTAAATTTAAATATCCAAAAAATGAAATATTGTTGAGTAAAATAAGTTTTTAATTCTGGATATTCACTTCAAATTCAACCACAACCTCTGTGGTGGGTTAAATTAGATCATTTACACAATAATAAATGACTTTACTAGTTTGAAAGCTAAACACATAAATGAAGTAAAATCATAAAAGTCTTAACTTATTAGTTATTTGATACGGACTATATGATTATTGATTAATAATCAAATCGATTCTTCACTAACCAATTCTCAATTCTCAAAACTCAAGTTTCTAACACAAAAAATCAGAACACACATAATGACATATTCACATAGCAACTTAATCACAATTACAGAATAAGATAAAATCCTTGATGTTGATCGATTATATCTATAGACCGGAACAAGGGAGTCACAACTTAACCTTAGCTAAGGCTCTGTTGTTGATCGATTCGTCTAAGGCCGGAACAAGGGAATCGCAAATCGCCTTAAGACCCTTCTTCTTCTTCTTCCATTTGTGTGCTGATGGCTATTTCGTTTCTAAACTGGCCGAACAAAGATAATTGGGGGATTTGGGGGTTTTCCTTTTTTAAGTACAGCAGCGGACAAAGGTTTGGCAAAGGTCAAAGGAAGCCCAATATGTAAATTTAATACATATACTCCGTATATACTAAAGAAATATCTAAAAATTTGGACCCTAAAATTTTAACATTTTTTGGGCCCTGATGCAAGTGTCTGTCTCATCTGCCTCATGCACGGCACGACCCTGAGAAGGGATTATGTCACTTTTTTGTAAAATTAAAATATGATCATATTTTTGTCTTTTGAAACTTTATAGGTTATATTTTTGCTATTTCTTATTGTAAACCGCACATTGTATATATTTTGTCAAAATAGTCAACCCTGGTATTTTTATTTTAAGGTTTTGGGAAAATTGGAACTTTGAACTACATATCCAAAAAACCGTGTGCACTGCATTCATTATGAAAAAGTAATCTTCGCACCTCATACATCGTAATTAAGGTTTTGAATTAATGGGATCCACACATTAGCTTTATGAAGATGGAAAGGAAAACTCAATATTGCAAAAATATGGAGTATGTAGTCAAATAAATAATTAAATTTATACGAAGTATATAAATATATAATACATATATAAATAAATAAATTTACACTTTATTGGCATCAATAATTTTTTTTATATTAATTTGATGTTAGCTAGGGAATAGCATGACATTTATTTATTTATTTTAATTTAGTTTTGAATTATTTTAAGTGGGGGTGAATTATTTATCTCAAATTAAGTTTTTAGTATATTTTTAATTAGGTATCTATTTTTAATTGAAGATATGAAATCATGTCGTTATTTTATTTTATAATTATTTATGGAAGATGTAATGCATTTTGAAATAAACGAGTAAACATGAGTTAAGCCCAAATTTTTAAAACATTTTTTAGCACATTTAAATTTGATGATATGAAAGAACCAATAAATGATGTGAAATATGTGACCATTCTTGATAAAAAAGGATGACACCCCATCACTGAGGGCCCCCAACCCTGACCGGACGGTACATTGGAATGATGTAAATTGGACTATAATCCCAATCTGACAGATAGAGAGTGAGACCTGTCCCCGGTACTTGCAGAGGCCCTATACATTTTTAGCATAGCAACCCCTCATCGCAATTGTCGGATATATATGTGACCATTCTTGATAAGGAATAGGTGGTCGTGGTCATTGTGCTTACATGACAGATAAATGACAAAGGAAAGTACTTTTTGGGGAAATAAGTACTTCAGAACTACCATTAATTGAGAAATAAAATTGGAGAGTGCCCCTATTTAGGGATGGGTCTGAAAACTGAAAACTAAATCAAATTAAATTGAACCGCAACCAAATAAAACTGAACCGCTAAAAATCCGAAACTGAATGGAAAAAATCAAACCAAATCGTAGTTGTTTGGCCCGGTTTTGGCTTTTGCCCTACAAAACCGAATCGAACCGAACAAAACGAACTAATTAAAATATGAAATTTATGTTAGGATTAATCCTAATTAATCCTAATATCATCAATAGTCTTTGGTTTTCTTGTACTAGAGAAATAATGTTTGTGTTATGTTTAGTTAGTTTATAAATTTATTTAGTATACAGTTATACACATTCATTGCCTATAATAATGTAGCTATATTGATCTACGACGTAATTAGTATGTATGTTGCAATTTGTTTGAATAGTGCAGAACTATGAAATAAATTAGTAAATTTATTTAGTATACACATTCATTACGATGATGATATGTTTTTACTGCTGTGTGAATAGTGCAGAACTATGTTTGATCCCTCTAACTATTATATCAATTTTAAATCAAATGATAATTTTTTGGTAAAACCCGAAAAAACCCGAAATCGAACTGAAACAAACTGAACCAATCAAACCGTGGTTCCAAATTTTGCAGTGTAAAACCGAACCGAAACCGAACCGAACTTTTTACTTTAGTTCTAGATTTGGTTTTAGGTCAAAACCGAATCCACCCCTACCCCTATTTGGGTAAAACTCTTCTATATATTTACTTTGTAACATTTAAATTTTGATATGTATCAGCATTGAATTTTTACAATGAGATATATAAATTCTACTATTTTTTTTTAATTTATTGAGAATAACTAAATATTCATCTCAAAGTGTAGTAGTTTACCTCATAGGACATATATATATATATCTCATGATTAAATACTAAAATTATTCCAATGTATACTTTGTACTTTGCTTTCGTATTTTATGTTGGTGATTTTAGTATCACCAGGTTCATTTTAGTGTAATGGAATTTACAGATTACCAATGGAGTTCAAGTTTAATTTTGGACAAGTTAGGAGGTGCGGAGCGCACACTTGTACGAAATTAAATTTAAACTTGGTTCGATTAAATGGCGGGGGTCAAGGGGGCTGCGCCCCCTTGCGGGGTCCAAGGGGCAGCGCCCCTGGCGGGCAGCGCCCCTGGCGGGCAGCGCCCCTGGCGGGCAGCGCCCCTGGCGGGCAGCGCCCTTGGCGGGGACCAAAATTTTATTTTATTAAAGAAATAAATATGGAAATTTATTTTCGGATAAACATGTCCATATTAATTATTTAATAGAATGACTTTCTGTTAGAGTAAAACTCTAACCGATTGGCCTTATCTCTTTGGTAATCAGAAGAATTCGAGTTCTACTAAAACTGCTAGTTCGTGGTCTATATATTGGTGCCTCAGTTTTAGACTGTCTCTGAGAGTGATTATCCCCATAATCTAAATTTCGTGTAACCCAGGCATAGGGTCGAAATATTAGATTCGGAAAGTGATCACACGATACTCTGAGAAATCCGCCAGATTTTCTAAAACAGTTTCCCAACTCCCCAGTTCTAACATTTTATTTTGGGTCAGAATCTAACAATTGAAAAACTGAACTCACCTCTAAAAGTATCCTATGGAGTTGGACACACTTAGCCATTTAGCTAGCCATAGAATTATGTGATTTGTTTTCAGACAAATTGTGTTGAAAGTACAAGGTTTAGTCGTTGGAAAACAAACCACAATCCTAGAGTTCTAATTTCTAAACACGTCTACCCATACAATGCTTTTAAATTATTTAACTTTAATTTCTGTAATTTATCCATAGCAAAATGTGTAATAAATTTGTTGTGATTTTTTTTTCAAAAATATTCTTATACCAGACAACTCATACTATACCAATTGATCCTTCTGTGTTTTGATTACCTCATTGCTTGCCTACAACTTTTGAGACCTAAAACTACACTTGGATGTTATATAAATTACTAATTCATGTTGTATACTTGTATCTCTATCTTTTACGTAGTACCGATAACATTAGCTCTAAAAGTATTTAATATTTTCATGATGACAAGTCTTGCATGTTTACATTAGTCACTAAGATAAATAAAAAAACATCTCATATTTACCTCAGGTAAATCACAAGTACCGGTAGGAAAGGATATTTTGTTGATGATCACCATATATATTGACGAGTGTAAGAGCAACTATAGATAGTTTTGAGAATTTCGGTTGGTCTGAATCAGAGTTAACGCTTTAATGTCTAATTTGATGGATGTAGCATGTGATGGTATGTTCTACCTCCATCACACAATATATAAGTCTATGAAGCTTCAATAATTAAGGTTATTTGAAAGGGAATATTCCTAAATTTTAATGTCGTACTTGGTACTTAATTACTAATGACTAACTTTTATGGAAGTATATTAAGAAATTAAATAACAAGTTTAATTTTAATGAATACCAAGTATTAAATTTGAATTATATAACTAAAAAAACATTTATATTCTTGATGATTGTGCAGCATTTTTACTCGTAAATGAACAATAGTTGCCTTTATTGTGTTGAAAAGAAAAGAATGAATTCTTTGTTCAAATATTTGCCTTTATTTGAAATAGCGTAAAACTAAGGAGATGCCCTTATAAGTAATTATTATTATGTTATAAAAATAATATATTATTGTGTACCAAATGGGACAAACAAATACGCAGTTATCAAGTAAGTATAATTTTGGACTCATTCTTAAGAAAAAACAAACCTTGATTCAAACAATATGTCAAAGATACCTTAAAACATCTTGTTATCATCATATACGGAATTGCTAAACGTGTCCAATTCCATAGGGTTCGTGTCCAATTCCATATAAGGAATAAAAATTACTCAAAATAGGACTAAAACTATGACAAAAACTCAAAATAGGACTTACTATGTTTTTCTTTTCAAAATAGGACCAAATTAGTTCTATTGGAAATATACCTATTTTTTTCTTCCATTCTTACCCTTCCTTTAAATATGAGTTAATTAAATGTTTAATTCATAATAAATTCGAAAAAAATTCAAAAATTTGTAGAAAAATAATAAAAAAATTTATAAAATATTTATAAAATAAAAAATTTAAAAAAAAAATTACTTTTTTTATTTTTTAAAAAAATTAATAAAAAATAGTAAAACTCCATAAAAAAATTAAAAACAATATGGATGCCTTTCCCACCGCCTGTACTACCTCCCTGCAGCACCATCTTCGGACGGTGAAAAAGATGTCATTTTCCCCAAAAACTGTCATTTTTTCTGAAAATGCCAAAAACATGACATATTTCTCTTTGAGAATGCCAACATTTTCATTGTTTTCTGCCATAAATATGGCATTCGTAATGAACTTGGCATTTTTTCCCCGGTGACTAGAGGTGGTGGTGCAAAGGCGGCAGAGGCGGCGGTGAATTTTATTTAATTTTTTTGAGTTTTTTATTTTTTTAATTTTTTTTATTTTTTTTAAAATAAATTAATTAATTATCATTATCGAAATATTTTTATTAGTTTTTTAGTATTTTTTACAATTTTTTTTTTTATTATTTTATTATGAATTAAAACATTTCAATAGCTAGAAGGGTATATTTGTCCAAGACACACATAATTAGTCCTATGAAAACATAATTTAGTTTTTGGTCCTATTTGTGCAAAGTGGGTGACTTTTAGTCCTATTTTGATAATTAACCCTATAAGGAATG